CCTGAAACCCTGTCAAACTCATTCTCTTTGGCTTTGAATCTGTGTAGGCAGCTCAGGTCGGCCACATCTGCTTGGGAGTAAAGGTCAGATTGTTGAAGACCTGGGTTATAGTGTAGTCTCTATGCCCGCCTCTTGACGTGAACTTTGTTTACACATTTGATAATTTTAGAGTAGATTCTACCTTCTCAACTTGTAAAATGGGGAAAATCACGGGTCAGGAAACTTCGCCAAACTGGGCAGAGAATGTTTTAGTCTTTGCAAGCCACATAATTTCTCTTGAAAATACTCAGTTCTGCCATAGTAGAATAACAGCTCCTGAAGGAATGGCCTTACATTCCAAGAAACAAGAAAACAAAACTTCACTTATAGGCATGAGAATCTGGATGACTTAGGCCCATGAGCTGTCATTTCCAACACCAGGTATAATTTATTATTTATAAGTGACAAGATATAGTACATCTACCATAAATAAAAATGTAAATATTTCTACAGAAAAACAATAAAGCTACATATAGGTTTAAGTTACACAGAAAGTGCAAGCCAGCAGACATGTATCTCATTATAATCAATGATCCTAAGTAATTATATTGTAGAATTGGGAATAATACCACAGTTTCAAATAGGCAGCTGGGACAGATGTGCTGCCTTTCTGGAAAAACCCGCAGCACGCTTTTGGCTTCACCACTCACAGCTGAAGTTATTATAAACATGATTCAGAAAATCAGGGAAAATGCAAAAAATTGATCTAACTATAAGTCCTCCACCTGATTATGACTTCAGGTATCTTGTATTTCTGAAATGCTGTCTTATGCAGTACTTCATATGTCTGTTGGAAGATTATAAGCTGTGGTTTGAGGAGCTTCAAGTATACAATATAGATGAATCATTTGTGATTGATTAATAATATTGTTTAACATAATTACTCTGAGTGCTTATGAAAATAATTCTTTCTGGGTCTGACAGCTAATAACTTTAGTGCAGTGAACCCAGTGCAATGGCCTAAAAACAAGCTCCAGCGGGCGCTGGTCAGCTAAACAAATCCACACAAATATGGCCTGAGCTTTCTGCTTTATTCTGGTTCTCTCTAAAGTAACTTATTATGAGTGTGTACATCTTTAGGTTGCTAAGGAAAAGTTCTTGAGAGAATTTGAGACCTACAGAAATCTGAGAGAGAAAGAGATAACCAGTGAGAATAATGATTTGACCTGGCTCAGTATTTTGGCAGAAGCCAATTATTATAGACGCTTGGTATCCATAGCAAGAGTTTAATAAATTATCTCTGGAAACTACATAGCTTATCACATAGATCATCAATGTATGGGACACTCACTGATGGGTATTATCAAGATTAACCATAAGATTGTAGAGGACTTTGTGTTGCTACAGCAAGGAACAAGCATAAAGATAGAAATATGATTGCTGGAAACCGCAACCAGAAGTTCTTTCTCTGAGTATTTTTATTGTGACATAACTGAAGTGCTACTTCCAGGGTACAGAAACGGAACTGACCTCTGATTCTCTGCCTCTGCTGGGGACTGGAGTTTCTTAAACTCACTGCTATGGCTAGGCTGGGACACTGTTTACTCTTCATGGTAAGTGCCTTGTATTGGTTCTTCAATCAGTCTTTCTTAGTCCAAAATCATGAAGGAATTTTCCAATATTCCTTTCTTAAAGTTCTACAATTATACTCTTCATAGTTGAGTTTTTCATTCACTTGGAATTAATTTTTCCAAATAGAGTATTTGATATTTGCCTATTCAGATAAATATCTCAATGTCCCCGTCCATTTTTGATAGTTTCCCTTTGCCTCTTTGCAGTCTGTTTGTCAGGAATCAAGGGTCTACATACTTGTATGTGCATGTCTACTTTCAGCCTCTAATCTTTTTCATGTGTATTCTTTTACCAATATTATACTAACTGAATTATTAATTTATGCTTCATCTTTACATGTGAAGCAATAAATTCTCCTTTTTCTATACTTGAGAGTAGATGTGTCTTATTGCCATTCCATATAAATTTTTAACCAACTTGTCAAATTTTAACTATTTTTTTTATTTTGGGGAGATTAGAATCCATGTAAAATCCATGAATCTTACAACCCATGAACATACTATCTCTTCAGTTATTTAGAACTTCATTGTCTGAAAAGTTTTATAATTTTCTGTTTAGAGTTCTTGTACAGTTTCTTAGTTTAATCCTAAATATTAGATATTCTCATTCTATTTAACCTGTTTTCTATTTTATTACTATTGCTGGCAAATTCCAGTTGCTTTTTTGTAAATTACTAATTCTAATAGTTTATCTATACAGTCTTTTGTATTTTTATACAGACAACTACTCACATTTAAACAATGACATTTTATGTCTATCTTATCTTTTATTCCTTAATGTTTCCCCATATGAACCTAGAACCTTCAACATAGATTTGAATAAAAATAATAGTTGTGGGTACTCTTGCCTTATTTCTCATTTCACAGAGAAATCTATCACAATTTAACCATAAAACTATGATATTTCATGTAGGATATTTTAAACTTTACCAAACTGAGAATGTTTCTTTTCATTGCTTACTCATTTTATCAACTAATGAATTTTATCACTACTGAGATGATTCTACCATTCATAATTTGATAGTGTGATTAAACATAAATTTTCCAATACTTAATCCAAATTTTATTATTGATACAAACCAGATTAGTTACCCTATTAGTTATCCTGTATTACTTATTTGTGGGAGGTTGTATCCACATTTTGTTTAAAACTTTTATATCTATACTCACAGGTAAAACAGCCTGTTATTTCTCTTCCTCATTCCTTTCAAGTTGCATTACCAAAATTACCCTAGCCTCATAAAAATGAGGTGGTCATTATTTCCTGTCTTCCAATTCTCTTGAAGATTTTTAGATTGAAATTAATTTCTTCTTAAACGTTTAGTAAAATCAAATGAAGAAAACTGGATTTAGAACTTGATTTGTGGAAGGTTTTTTGATAATCTCTTTAACGGTTATAGAATTATTGCTTTAAAAATGATTCCAGTCAGCTGTGGCAGTTAGTATAATTTGTCAGTGTCCCTCACACTTTAGATGTGCATGCACAAAACCACTCCTTATGCTCTTTTATAATCTGCTTAATGTGAAGGTGCCTCTTGCTCCTTCCTGACACTCAAAGCATCACAGTTGGCCCTGTCAAGCTTTGTGATGGGTTTTCAGTTATTAATCTATGTTCTTAATCACTCTGCTCACTTGCCTGTATTACTGCTGGCCTTGGAAACTGCATGGGCCCAGGAGCTTCTGTCGTGGAAACCATGACAGGGCTCCTCCTTCTGACTAGCTGGCTAAGTCCAGAAAGGGCAACGACTCAAAGGAAGCATCATTAACCCAGTCAATTAATCTCTGATTTCAACAACTTTACCAGGAATAAAGACCAGTGTGTTGATGGCCCCTGTCCTTGTAACTCTTGTGAACTAATCTTTAATCCGGAGATTAGGAGTGAACAGTTCCCAAAGAGCCCCTAAGGGCATCTGAGTTCTGGAAGATTTTCCAATGCTGCCTGGTCACCCGCTTCTTCTAAAGAGAACTTTGAACAAGAAACGTTGGGTTTGGGTGTCAGAAATTATGCAGAAAACAACCGGGATTTTATTTCCTTCATAAATTCTAGCCTTTTGATGATTAAAATGGGTAAAACTAACTTCTCAACCCAACTTGAAATGACTGCTCCACAGAAAAGGAAAGTGACGCAGAGTGGAACAAAACACAGAAAAGACAGAAGAAGGGAACTGAAGGGTTTACTTCCGAACCAGTTACAAAGGAAATTCTGCAGGGGAAGCACTTCCGGACATTAGGACAGGCAATAATTTTTCTGATGACCCAGAAGCACAGGAAACAAAAGCAAAAATGGACAAATGAGATCGTATCAAACTGAAAATCTTCTGACACAACAAAGGAAACAACAGAGAAAAGAAACTATCTATACAAAGGGAGAGAATATTTGTCACCTGTACGTCTGACAAACAATAGCCATAACACGTAACGAACACCAAAAAAATCTTTTAAAAACCCACACAATCCATTAATTAATAAACAACTGATCTGAATACCCATCAAAATGAGATCCAACAATCAGTGACTCTATGAAAAATGCCCAGCATCAGCCACCAAGGAAGATCATTCAGACCCGAGTTATCATCTCACTCTAGTTCAAATGGCTACATTAAAAACAAAACAATGAGGGCTTGCAAGGTTGTGGAAGGACGTCTCATACATGGTAGTTGGGAATGTAAGTCAGTAAAGCCATTATGGAGAACAGCATGGAAGTCCCTAAAAATAGGTCATACAATCCAGCTAACCCAGTACTGGGTATACATCATACATCCAAAGGAAATAAAAGCCCGCCAAAGAGGTACCTGTACACCCATGTTCATGCAGCACTATTCACAGTCTCTAAGGTGGGAATCAGCACATGTTTGAAGACATGGTGTGTATGCGCAGTGGGATATCACTCATCATAAAGAATTGAACCCTGCCATTTCCAGCAGAATGGCTAGAACTTGAAAACATTGTTAAGTGGAATGATCCAAACACAGAAGACAAGAACTTTGTGTTCCCTCATACGCGGAAACTAAGAAAAGCCACCTTTGAGGTAGAATCCCGGTTAGCAGCCAGTGGGAACAGGGCAGAGTAGGGTTACAGGGAGGACGGGTTGATCTATTTGCACCATATGTATGTGTTGAAATATCACCAAACCCCTTCATAGGTACAGTAAAATGTGTGTTCATAAGAACAAAATATTTAAGAGGAAATTCTGATAGTATTTTCCGCATACCATTGGAAGGAAGTAAAATAAGGGTAAATGAGAAAATCAGATTACAGTGTACTAACTTCCCCGCTGCCACCCCAAGCCCATTAGGATAAGGAAGCCAGTCCACAGAATGCAGCCACCTCCTGCTTTGTGCTGTCCTTGACTAAGCACTGAGGCCATCATCAAAAAAATGCAAACAGACACCCATTGCAAAAGTTTATTTAAAATTGCCTTTATCACAAATTTAAAATCTGGAGAAGCCCTTTTCCAACCAAAGACTTCACAAATATAGATAGGATGGCAAGCTTTTCATCCTAAAAGGTCACACTGAAATGGTCAAAGATGATCCCCCAAAGGTGTTCGTTCCACATCTAAGAAGCAACGAAATCCTCAAGCAGCCAAGGTTGGTAGGATCGCATCACTGTCCAGAATTTATAGTTCAAATTACTCCATGTAACAGGAAGCAGTAAAATTTGTATGGCTCAACAAGGGAAAACTGCTTCTGTAAGGAAAGAAACGATTGCATATGCTGATAAGAAAGCATTATATCCCCAAGGAAACACTGAGAATCAACAAGGCAGGAAAAGGCAGCGAGGGTACTGACTTTACACACCCCCTTTTTTTCAAGACAGGGTCTTGCTGAGTCACTGAGTTGCCCAGGCTGGATTTGAACTTTCAGCCCTCTTGCCTCATCCTTCTAGCATGCAGAGATGATAGGCATGTGCCACCTCACCCATCATTTAAATATTTTAATGACTCAAGTATAATAGTATATATTTTATATGTATTCATATAAAAGAAGCTATAAAACATTGGCTGAGCATTTGTTAACCAACAGCATGTATATCAATTTTACCTGAGCACAATGTCTCACATTTTGAATTCTGAAGATCAGAAGAAAAGTAAAGGTCTGACCTTCTGGCATACTAAAGACTTTAGAGTCTATTTGAATAATTCTTTGTAGAAGGCATTATAGCCGTTTAGTTCTTCCCGAACAGAAAGCTGATGAAAAAGTTAGCAAACATATCAACTGCCATCTTCATGAACACTCACAAGTCCATTCTCTGTTTATGTTACAAACTTGAGACTTCTGAGGGGTGTCTGGCCGAAGTAGACTGATAGTGTAAAAGGGCAGGCAGGGTTGCAATTGCAAATTGACTGAGTACATGAGAGAGAAAAAATAAACGCTCACGAAACATATCCAATAACCGTAAAAATGATTGTTTACAACACTGCTGGGATAAAATCAAACATGCGCTGATCTACAAAACGTGCTGTGTATTGTTTCACTAACCCCTTACCTATTTTCATAAATGTAAACATTTCTGCTTACAGTGAAAATGCTGTCACCAAGACGACATCCTTAGATTGATGATCGAGTATTCATTTCCACCCGACAGCGGCAACATCGGTTGGATGACCAACTTTTCACAGCCGGGCTCACCTCTTTTCGATTTAATGCTTATTGGCAACCTTCTGAACAAAAGGAAAGAAATATATAGAAAAGAAAAACTATATAGGAGCTCTGTCTAAATTACACTTTTGGAAGTAGAGAAGGAGTTGAGGTGGAGGGATAGAAACCAAATTAGATGGGTAATAAGTAGCAGGATGCCAAATCAACTGCCTTAGGCAAAAAGCCATATGTTTTACAGAAAACAGAAGGAAATTTTAATGGAATGTTGAGTAGAACTTTCCATTATCCTAGAGATGACAGTTGGAAGCACAAGTTGATTTCATACAGTCATCAGTATCAGCAGCTCTGAAGTTCTGTTTATCTCTACTCCTCTTACCACGTCTGCAATGAGTGATTGGACATACAGCTTTCAATGACTGGCCTGTGATAAGAGTAAAGCGTCATAAAAGTCCTCTCCCCTTAGTGAAACCAAATGAGGGTGTTTTAAGCCAACCCCGCAGTCACTGAGAGCATCTTGAACAGGAGACTCTTCTTGCCAAAGATCTGCTCAGACAGCAGACTCACGTGTGAGAGGTAAAGCGGGGAAACAGGAAGAGAAGGCAGAATGGGAGCGCCTACTTCCGCAGTGTCTATGGTAACCTGATTGAGTAATCTCCCCACAGGTGCCAGAGTTCTAGGGATTTTTCCAGGAAGCAGTAAAGAAGAGAGTCATAGATCGTGCTGAACCCTGCCCTCCCCCAGCCCCTTTGTGTCCAGCACCAGAAACATGGAAGAGAGGAAACCTAAATTTGACAGAACTCCAAACATAATGACTTGATGATATTTACTATAAAAAGGACCAGCAGTGCTATTAAAGAATAACATAACAGGTTAGTCCACTTGTTTAATCTGGAGCCACAGCCATGGAACCCTGCGTCTCCCCAAAAGTGAGAATAACCGAAATACAGACTGCAATGCAATTCCCGTTGCAGAGAGAACAGACACGCTGCTGGGCCTCCCCACAGCCCCCTGTGATGATCACAGGCAGATTGCCTCAGCCTGGGTCAGCAGAGAGCTCCCTCTGCTTCTCGACCTCATTGCAAAAGGGTTTCTCAAATAAGGGCAGAACTTGGGTAATCAGCAGTTCTCAATTTTTATATCCATAGAAAGTTGCCACAAACCGACTCATTTGGTTCTAGCTTTAAAATATCGGAGATTCTGATTTTTTTAATCTCTCGTCTCACCCTCACATTTGAATACCTCTCATAAAAGTGTGGGGCCCTAGGCAGAGGTGGGCAAGGGAAAGGAAGACCCCGGAAAAGGAAAGTTTAGGAACAAATAAGCCCTGGGGTATTCTCTTCATTGCCCAAATTTCAGGCACGGACTGAGGTTTATTTGCTCATGTAGCAAACACACTGCCAGAACCAACTGAATTTATTTGTGGATCTACTCCCTGAATTAAGCAGAATTCTGTAGATCAGATCGGCCCCAATGCCCAGCCTCAGCACACTGTCCAGCAATTCTATTCTGATCAGAACACCCAGCAGCCCACAATAACATCGGATGACCTTCATCACAGTAGCCTACAACACTTACCTTGGAACAAGACACATGATGGGGATGTAGACGTAAAAATCTACATACGGCGAATTATACGTGATTGAAGTTTCGATGACTGTACCTGAATCCCGTTCCTGAAAATATAAAGAGTATAAATTCAGTTATCTTTATTATCTCTTTCAAATAGCTTCCAATTCAATTTTTACACTGCAGTCCATGAAAGCAACGCGATCCTCATTTTTACTTCATGCTTTATGTAATAGAATTAAGGGCTAAAAGGACTTCAGCCGACAAGTCTGCATCTGAGAGTTTGTATCTGTTTTGTGGTTGTGTCTGCATGCTCAGTTTTTGCACTTAAGAATCAGGGTCTGGCTGAGGTGGACCCAAGTTACACAGAGTGCAAATTTTGGCTAAATACTATACTTGACAACTTCTTAGAAGGTTACAGCTTTCTACAGTAAAATGAAGGTAATATAAAGCAGGAATTGAAAAAACATGGCTAAAATTGACCAGAAAGTAACTATTTCAGTCTTGGCAAACCACTTGGTCTCTATCACTGAACCCATTTCACCTTTGTAGCATGAAGATAGCTATGCGTAATAACTAAAAGTGAATTTGTTCCAATAAAAGTTCACATGCAAGCACGGGAGGCTAGATGCCTTTGGCCCGTTGACCATAGATGTCAGCTACAGGCATAAGCTACTATTTATAGTAAAATATAGTCCATTCAACTAAAGGGAGGGTAGGAGAATGGGAAAAAAAGCTATATCATGTACAGTTAAAAATTGTCTATGATGAATGTGATCATAATGTATATCCAAAATGTACCAATAAAATTTGATAAAACATATGAGCAGCAAGGTAACTAAAATAAGAACTTTGCTCATGTATTTATCTTCAAATGTATGGATACCATTGAGTGAAAACCAATTAACGTGTGTCTGTTTTATTTACAGGCTACGAATTAGAATTTGCAGTCTAGAATTTTAAAACATAAGGCACTACCCAAAACAACAGCATTTAACTCTTCTGAGCATTCAGACAGGATTGATATTTGCATACAATTCATCTTTACGTGTACTGTTTAACATCTATAAAACATAGTAGTCAGGAATGTTTGTTAGCACCTCGGATTATCCAAAAGCAAATAAAATATCCACAGTAAGATAGGGTTGAGCATTATACAGGACAACATTTATTATCCATTAAAAGATGCTCAATTTAACTGGCATTCTAACAAAAAGGAACGTTACTGGAGAGTAACTCGACATGAGGAGCAGGCAGAGGATAGAATTCAAATCACATTATCAGGTACCTGTTCCTCTTCCTGCCCTTACAACTTTATATCTTGTCCTTTTTGAGTTTCCTCCTTTTTTAGGCAATTTCTCCCTTCCTGGGTGGTAACTGGAAACCTCAATATCTGTCTACTTAAAATTACTTATTTATAATCTCAATTAAAAAGTGTGAGCCTCTTTCCCTAGATATCCCAGAAAAAGCCTCAGGCAGTTTTCACTTGACCTAGGCATGATTTTGTAAAGTAAAAACTGGCACAGCCTTTGCATGCACTTAGCAAATATTCAAGTCCCTACATCTTACTAATCAGGCTGTGACAGCTGAGTCAACTGTGTACTAAGTCACATGCTTGCCATGTGTTTGACATCATTTCAGGTAGGAGAGATGGAGCATTAGAGAACCAGTGGGGCCATGTGCCTGAAGCCACAAATCTAATCCACCCACCCAAAGCATTTGCACCCAGCAGAGGGGGGGTATGCTTTCAAAAGGGCAAGCCAAGCTGCCGTCACCAAACAGAGCAGCAAATTCACTGAAGGAAAAAAAAGTAAAGTTTTCCGGTCTCAGAAAAATTGACTTGCAGTCAGGCGTAGTGGCATATGTCTGTAATCCCAGCACTCAGGAAGCTGAGGCAGGAGGATGGTTGAGCGTTCGAGACCAGCATGAGCTGCAAAGTGAGCTCAAGGCCAGCCTGAACTGCATAGCAAGACCCAGTCTCCAAAAGACCAAAAAAAAAAAAAAAAAAAAAAAAAAAAAAAAAGAAAAAAAAAGAAAAGAAAAGAAAAATTGTCTCTTCTTATTAATACACGAGCAATATAACCAGACATGCCCTATGTACATTGAAGTTTTAGATGGAGAGCAACAAAACAATAGAGATTGAAAAATCTGTTTTAACAATAAGTGTTTCCCTGGAGCTGGATTTCACAACACAGGGGAGGAGGATGGAAAAGGGGCGTTAATCTTACATGAGGAATCACTTCATAGCTCAGTTTTAGTCCTTGTTCTGTGGCCCTAAAACAAAGAATACGTCATCTATTCCAACGGTAAGTGCTCTTACGTAAATCCTCATGCCACAGAAAGATACAAGGTAATGGAATCGAAAGAAGAAAGGCTGCACGAGGGAGACGGGGCAGTCATCACCCAGAGTGAGCTCGTGAGGATGGATTTCCCAGTTATTCAGCAGAGGCCACCGAGGCATTCTAACCAGGAGCTGCGTTGTGGTGCAGGCTATCAGCCCTGTTGAAGAATTTAAAAAAGGAAAACTGTCAGCAACATATGTGCTCCAAACAACAGGCTGCACAGCTTTCAATCCCTTCACCGATCGGAGTCCCCAACAAACGGATGACGACTTCTTGTTTCTATTTGTGTATTTTCTCACAGTGAGAGCTTGAGCCAATTCCTTCACTCTGTGTGGCTCCATTTCCTGAGAGGGTGGAAAACATCAGAGATATTTCCTGAGAAGCTCTGAGCCTAAGATCTCCCTGGCTTTTTAGAAATCAAACTTTACCAACATGCCTCATGAACACATTTTCAAAGGATTTCCAAGCATAGCAGCTGGAATTCTGAAAAACAGAAGAGAAGCTTTGGTACTGGTTGTACACAGCTGGAATATGTATCATGTGCTTCCATTAAAATTGTCTTTTGAGTTAAAATATTTGAGCCTATTAACCTTAACCCAAACCCTAACCCTGGTATGTTAGGCTTTTAGAAGAATTCTTAAACAACATTGCAGTTACTTCAGTGATAACTTTCTTATAATTGCTAACAAGTTGATTTTTAGTCTTGTTTAATGTTCATCAAAAACCTGTGAAGCTAGTTTATTATCCCATACTCACACAGACAGATAAGTTTAATATCACATAGCTGGTAAGTGCCAGGGCAGAATGAATAACTACACAAGAATCTGTTCAGAGTCTCAACTCAAAAAAGGAATCATTCGCAGCTGAACACAGCTGCCTTCCACTGTGCCGACGTCACCACGCATGGCCAGCACCTGCAGACCTTTGTGAGAGCCCTCCCCTCCCTCTCTGGAAGTCTCTCCTGACTTTGTGAGTCAACACAAGGATTTCATAGTCTGCAAAGTGGCAAGCCGGTCTCTCTAGACCAAAGAAAATATACACCTGCAAATATTTCACAAGTCAGGAATATCAAACAGATTCTTGAGCTTATTGGATAGGCTCAAGAGGAAGACCCGTGGTGAACATGGATGGATGAAGCCATGTCACACTGCAACCTGGCCATTACTAAGGGTTAGCAAGTGGTCACAAGATCCAACAAACCACTAAAGTCAACAGTGAGTTAGAAAAGCACCCCCAGTGCTTATGATTGCCTCCTCTAGATGCCCCTTTTCCTTACAACTGGCATGAACAGGAGTCAACCCAAAAAGCATGAAGAGCCCTCCTAACGCGCCTAAGCTCTTCATCATTGCTTCAGACCCCCGCCCAAGGGATCATCGGGAAGCAGGAAGTCCAAGTAAATGACTTCTGTGGGACTTTATAAGCCTCTTCCTTCCTCAGCTGCTGGTGATGGTTTATTCTGGAAGGCCCTACAGCCTTAGCAGTTTTTCCTCTTCCCAGTTGAAGTTACAACTACAAATCAAAAATCAGGGGAGAGAATGTGAAAAGGAGCTATAAACTGAGCCTCAGGCCACAGCACCTTCCCCAAGCTTATGGATGTGTCTGAAATTGTGTCTCGTGTAATATTTGGTACGTGACCACGGGAATGTTAACAGCAGGACTTTTCACGATGATTTCACGGATCCAAGTGGACCACACGGGAGCGTCACCTA